CCTGGGATTCTGGGATTCCCATCTCTCGTTCCTGGGATTCTGGGATTCCCATCTCTCGTTCCTGGGATTCTGGGATTCCCATCTCTCGTTCCTGGGATTCTGGGATTCCCATCTCTCGTTCCTGGTGCTAATGACTCCCAGCACTGCATGAGCCACTGTTTGTGAATTTCCTCTCCCTACCTCCATGGGCTGGAAGCTCCCTGAGGTCAGGGACGTGGTCAGTTTTGTTCACTGCTTCACTGTCAGCATCTAAGCGTTCGTGTCATGTTGCTGTTGTTACTAGGTGCCATCGAGTTGGTTCCAGCTCACAGTGACCTTCGGTCCAACAGAGTGACCCATCACTCAATCACTGGTGGATGAGCCCATCATCACAGCACGTGTCTGTCCATCTTGTTGAGGGTCTTCCAATCAGTGATGGGATTTCTGAAAACAATTCATAAACACACTCTCTAATTAGATTCCTTAATCAGTTCCTTCAGAGGATGCAAGCAAATTGCTTTTATTTATTGGGCTGATGGTGGTTGTTGTCATTAAGTGTCATTAGTTGGTTCCGACTCATAGCAACCCAGTATAGGGTTTCCAAGGAGCAGCTAATGGGTTTGAACCGCCAACCTTGTGGTTCCTAGTCCAGTGCTGATCCTGAAGCGCTACACCAGGGTTGATGGCAAGACCCTTGAAATGGTTGCTTTGGTTCAGTAGATTATACGTGTTATTCTGTGGGAGCTCTGGTAGCGTAGTGCTTACAAGTCGAGCTGCTAACCTCAGGGTCAGCAGTTTGAAACTACCAGTGGTTCCACAGGAGAAAGATGAGGCTTTTTGCTCTTGTAAAGATTGACAGCCTTGGAACCCCTATCCAGGGTTGTTATGAGTTGGAATCAGCTCCATGGCACACCACCACCACCACCCATTTCAAGAGGTAGCACGTCATCAAGAGCCAGTGATACTGAAGGAAGAAGTCCAAGGTACACCGAAGGCATTGGCAAAGAACAAGGCTCTGGGAATTGATGGAATACAAATTGAAAACTTTCAACAAACGGATGCAATTCTGGAGGGTCTTACTCATCTCTGGCAAGAAATTTGGAAGACAACTGCCTGACCAAATGATTGGAAGAGATCCATATTTGTGCCTATTCCAAAGAGAGGTGACCCAATAATGCGGAAATAACCAGCCAATATCATTAACATCGCATGCAAGTAAAATTTTGTTAAAGATAATTGTAAAATGTTGCAATAGTACATTGACAGGGAACTTGCTAAAGTTCAAACTGGATTCAGATGAGGATGTGGAACGAGGGATATCATTGCTGACGTCAGATGGATCTTGACTGAAAGTAGAGAATACCAGAGAGATGTTTACTGTGCATTATTGACTATGCAAAGGCTTTCAGTTGTGTGGATCATGACAAGCTGTGGACAACATTGTTGAGAATGAATGTTCTGGAACAGTTAATTGTGCTCATGAGGAACCTGTACATGGACCAAAGGCAGTTGTTCGAACAGAACATGGAAACACTGAACAGCTTAAAATTAGGAAAAGTGTGCGTCAGAATTGTTTTCTATCATTGTACTTATTCAGTCTGGATGCTGAGCAAATAATTTGAGAAGCTGGATTATATGAAGAAAAATGTGGCATCTAGATTGGAGGAAGATTCACTAACAATCTGCTCTATGCAGATGATACAATCTTGCTTACTGAAAGCAAAGAGAACTTAAATACTTACTGATGAAGATCAAAGACCACAGCCTTCGGTATGAGTTGCACCTCAATGTAAAGAAGACCAAAATATTCACTGTACCAATAAATAACATCCATGTAAATGGATAAGAGTTGAAGTTTTCTAAGACTTCATTTTGCTCAGATCAACCATCAGCACTCATGGAAGCAGCAGTCAAGAAATCAGACAACATTGCATTGGACAAATCTGCAGCAGAAGACCTCTTTAAAGTGTTGAAGAGCAAAGAGGTCAGTTTGAGGACTAAGGAGCACCTCACCCCAAGCCACGGTAGTTTCAATAACTCATACGCATGTGGAAGTTTGATAGTGAATAAAGAAGACCGTAGAAGAATTGATACATTTCGGTTATGGTGTTGGAGGAGAATATTGAAAGTACCATGGGCTGTCAGAAGAACAAACCTGTCTGTGTTGGATAAAGTACAACCAGAATGCTCCTTAGAAGCTGGGATAGTCAGACTTTGTCTCTCATACTTCAGACATATTACCAGGAGGGACCAGTCCCTGGTGCAGGACATTATGCTTGGGTCAGTGAAAAAGAGGAAGCCCCCTAACGAGGTGGAGTGGCACAGTGGCAGCAGCAGTGGATTCAAGCGTAGTAACGATTGTGAGGCTGTGTTTCCTTCTATTGTGCATAAGGTCACTATTAGTCAGTACTATCTCGATGGAATCTAACAACAACAATTTCTAAGCCGGAGTCCTAGTGTGGTGCTATAGGATAAGCACAGGACCACGTGATTGGTTTGAATCCTAAAGTTTGCAGTTCAAAACCACCAGCTGGAAACTCTATAGAGGGTTGCTATGAGTCGGAACCAACTTTATTTATTTATTTTTTTTCCAAGCTGATGTCTTACGTACGGAAGGGGCTCTGGTTGCCCCGTGTTTAAAGTGTCTGACTGTTAACTAAAATGTCAGAGGATTCCACCTAGTAGCTGGTCTGTGGGGTGTGTTTGTGTGTGTGGCAGTCCATGTGTGTAAAGGTGTAAAGGCCTGGAAACCCTGTGGGGTTGCCGTGAACTGAAATCCACTCAAGGATAGTAGATTTGATATTTTTTTAAAAACTGTTTACAGAAGCAGACTGCTGTGTCTTCCTTCCACAGAATGGCTGTTGGACCATTGACCTTTCGGTTACCAGCTGGGCCCTTAAGTACTGTATCACCAGGGCGTCTTAGTTGATAACAGAATCTTGTTCTTAGTGTAACAAAGGAACCCTGGTGGCACTGTGGCTTAAGCATTAGGCTGCTACAAGGCCTAATCACAAGATCTGCAGTTCAAACCCACCAGCTGCTCTGTGAGAGAAAGACAAGGCTGTCTGTTCCCTCCTGCGAATGATTTTGTCTCGGAAACCCTACTTTGCAGTCCTGTCCTGTCCTGTCCTGTCCTGTCCGGCGTCTCTGAGTCAAAATGGACTCCACGGAGTGGGTTCTTCATTCACATGACACATGAGTGCCATCGTAGATAGTCTTTGAGGGCCTGGCATACAGACACCAGCGTGGGTGCTGTGTTCTCCGAAGAGTGGGCTTTCATTACCATTTTCAGACTTGAGCATTATGTTGCCTGTCTGAGGAGAGCAAGGAAAAGTCAGATGCCTACTAGTTGTGCCAGACTTAGGCGGGGGTGTGGACTGCTGACTGCAAAGTTAGTGGTTCAAACCCTGCAGCCGCTCCTCGGGAGAAACATGAGGCTGTGTGCTCCGGTTACGACGGACAGTCTCAGAAACCCTATCACGGTCACCGTGAATCAGAATCGACTCAGTAACATCGGATTTGTTTTTTAGTAATACTGAATTTAAGTTAAGAGTAACAAAAATTGCTAAGAATAGTAAAGTTACTTACAACCTAACCTTAGTAACGGTAGACTTTTCCGTATTTAATGCATGGAAACTCAGTGGGATGGCAGCTTGCTTTAGATACCGAGGACTTGTAGGCATGGTGTGCGTGCCAGATGTCTGGATGTTACTAAAAATGCCAGTAGGAATTTCTAAATAACAACACAGTCCTAAAATAGACCTAGAAAAGTGAGCGAGGTCGAATCTCAGTATTGTGAAAGGGAGGGCAGCGTGGCCATACCTTGAAGTGCTGGTGAGTCACATGGTCCCAGAAGGAACCGAATCTTAGAACTGCACATGCGTTAGAGAATAGGACAATGGCTCCAAACAAAAAGAATTACAGATGCAGCAAATTGTACTGTCAGGACAAGTTAATGGATTCAGCTAGAGTAAACCTCCATCCATGAACCTTTGTGGCGCCGTAGCTGAAGTGCTCATCTGCTAACCAAAAGGGTGGTGGTTTGAACCCACCAGCCGCTCTATGAGAGAGGGATGTGGCCATGTGCTTCTGTGAAGACGACCGCAGTGGACACCCCGTGGAGTGGCCCTCCTCTGTCCTGTAGGGTTGCTAGGTTTGGTTTTTGGGGTCTGAGTCCATTTTACAAGGCGCCCTGGTGGAACGATGGTTAACTCCTCGGCTGCTAAGAGACAGGTCGGCGCTTCCAACCCAATGGCCACTCCTGTGAAGGAAGATGTGCGGTGTGGTCCCCTAAGATCTACCCACCTGTAACCTCATGGTGCAGTTCGGCCTCGGCTGGTAGGGTTGCTGTGAGCTGGAATTGACTTGGTGCCACTGGGTTGGGGGTAGAACTCCATCTCAGTAGCTCCCCAGTTTCATTCCTTGAAATACTACTTCTGTGCAATATTCAGAAGTATTCCTGGAAAGGGCCCATTTGGAAATCTTACACATTCCCTGCCTTGGAGAATTTTAGTGTACAGAGTGTCTGAGGTCAGCTATGGAGAAACACCCACTTAACTGGGATTTTTCCTAAAACCATTCAGAGTTTTTAATGGAACCCCCAAGGCTGTGGCCCTTAGACATTCTTGAAGCCTGGGACGGAATCAGCCCCTGGGGATCAGACTTTAAGCTGAACAGTTGTTGTTGTCGTTAAGTGCCGTCAACTTGGTTCTGACCCATAGAGAATGACCCTGTATAGTGGTTCCGAGGAGCAGTTGGTAA